ATGATGATGACGATGATGACAACGGTGATGATGATAACAACGATGATGGTGACGATGACGATGATGAAGATGACACTACCAGCCTTCCCCCCAGGACCGGAAGCTGACAAAGGTGGAGCAGCAGCGCTTCAAGGAGGAGGCCGAGATGCTCAAGGGGCTCCAGCACCCGAACATTGTCCGGTTCTACGACTCCTGGGAGTCGACACTGAGGGGCAAGAAGTGCATCGTCCTCGTCACCGAGCTCATGACCTCGGGCACCCTCAAGACGTGAGCAGGGCCAGGGGGGCCGGGGGGCCACAGGGGTCCTGGGGGGTCACAGGGGGCTCACCCGGCCCCCCCCAGGTACCTGAAGAGGTTCAAGGTGATGAAGCCCAAGGTGCTGCGGAGCTGGTGCCGCCAGATCCTGAAGGGGTTGCAGTTCCTGCACACCAGGACCCCCCCCATCATCCATCGCGACCTCAAGTGTGACAACATCTTCATCACCGGCCCCACTGGCTCCGTCAAGATCGGGGACCTGGGGCTGGCCACGCTCATGAGGACCTCCTTCGCCAAGAGTGTCATTGGTGAGCGCGGGGACCCCGGGGACCAGCGTGGGGACACCTGGGACCATCCGGGGATATCCTGGGACCACCACGGGAACATTCTGGGACATCCTGGGACCACCATGGGGACATCCAGGGACCACCATGGGAACATTCTGAGACATCTTGGAACATCCTGGGACCACCCTGGGATCAACTGGGACCACCCTAGGATCACCCTGGGAACATCCTGGGACCCCCAGGACCACCCTGGGACCCTCCAGGCCTCCCCCCCAGGGTCCTAGGTGCCTGGGACCCACCAAAGACCACCCTGAGACCCCCCTGGGGACCCCCGGGACCACCCTCAGGGGTCATGACCACCTGGGATCCCCAGGACCTCCTGGAACCCGCCCAGGGGTCCTGACGCCCCCCTGCCGCCGCAGGGACCCCTGAGTTCATGGCCCCCGAGATGTATGAGGAGCGTTACGACGAGTCCGTGGACGTTTACGCCTTCGGGATGTGCCTGTTGGAGATGGGCACGTCCGAGTACCCCTACTCTGAGTGCCACAACGCCGCCCAGATCTACAGAAAAGTCACCAGTGTGAGACCCCTGAGATCCCCGAACCCCCCCTGAGCCCCCCAGCACCCGCAAACCTCCCTGAGACCCACCCTGACCCTCCCCAGTCCCCCTGCTCTGAGTGCCACGGCAAAGTCACCAGTGTGAGACCCCCAAAGCCCCCCTGAGACCCCCAACCCCCTGGAGACCCTCAAACCTCCCTGAGCCCCCAAGCCCCCCCTTTCTCCCCCCCAGGGCATCAAGCCGGCGAGTCTGCACAAGGTGCGGGACCCCGAGGTGAAGGAGCTCATCGAGGGCTGCATCCGGCAGAACCGGGACGAGAGGTGGGACCCCCGGGACCCCCAGGGGACCCCCCGGGGCTGAGCCTCCTCCCTGGGACCCCCCGGGGCTGCGTCCGGCAGAACCAGGATGAGAGGTGGGACCCCCCCCGGGACCCCCCAGGGCTGATCCCCCCCCAATCCCAGGCTCTCCATCCGGGACCTCCTGGCACACTCGTTCTTCGCCGAGGACACGGGGCTGAGGGTGGAACTGGCCGAGGACCCCGGGGGTCCCGACCCCGCCCTGGCCCTGCGGCTCCGCGTCGAGGACCCCAAGAAGCTCAAGGGGAAGCACAAGGACAACGAGGCCATCGAGTTCAGCTTCGACCTGGACACCGACGACCCCGACGAGGTGGCCCAGGAGATGGTGAGGGGGGACCCAAAACCCCCTTGGGGGGACCCCAAATACCCTTGAGGGTGATCCAAAACCCCTCTGGGGACCCCCCCCAAAACTCTCCTCAAAGTCAATGAACCTCCAGAATTACCCTGAAGCCAAAGGTTGATGACTCAAGCTCAGCTGGAGCCCCCCAAAGCCACTGACACCCCAAAATTCACCCATGAACTCCATGGTTGCTCCCTCAATCCCCCCTCGAGCCCCTCCCAAAGCCAACGAGTCCCCAAATTCCCCCCTGAAACCTCCAGTTGGCCCCTGGGACGGGACCCCAACACCGCCAGCTCTGGGGGTCCCCTCACCCGGCCCCCCCGATGCCCCCCCAGGTGAGATCCGGGTTCTTCCACGAGAGCGACTCCAAGGCCGTGGCCAAATCCATCCGGGACCGGCTGGTGCTGGTGCGGAGGGCGCGGGAGCGGCGCCCGGGGGGGTCCCGGGGGGGCCCCGAGAACGAGGACCCCGAGGTGG